CCCCCCCCCCCCAACCCAACCTGTGCTTGGGAGAGAGCTACAGCCTGTGCTAATAGCTTAGCAGGGCCATTTCCAGGCATTGTTAACTTAATAGTACAGCTGCAACCTAATTCTCCTATATCTGAGAGAAGGCCATCTCTCTCCACCAGGCTGATAAGCAGCACAGTCAGGATGGTAGCATGGAGCAGCCATATGCCAACAAACTGTCAAAAAGCAGACAAGCAAAGGAGCCCACTTCAGCAAATTTTCCTCTTTACACTCGCAGACCAGACGCCAGGATGCATTTAGGGCTGGCAGCCTTTCCAAGCTGTGGGCCACCAGTGGGAGCTGCTCAGCTCCTTAGTGCTTTGACATGCCTTCAGAGGTAGGCAGTGGGTCCCCAATCCCACCCTGAAAGGAGCCAATAGAGAAGTGAGGTTCAGCATGGCACCTACCGTGAACAGCATCCCAGGACAGAGAGAAAACAGAACAACACAGAGGGTGGGCAACGAGAGCACAAGGGAAGAGAACGACATTACAGACAACATCGACAGCAGCTAGCACCAGGGGTGGTAGCGGGCTGTCTGCCATGGGACACAGTGATGCATGTCAAGGTCAGGAATTGGGCTTTTGGCTTCTGCTACCTGTTTCGTATGGGCCTGTTGAGCCCCAGAAGAGATCAGGGTAAGACAGGAAACAGCATCTCTTCCTCCTTTCGGGAAGCACCCCTGTATCCCCTGCTGCTGTGGAGGGGTGCGGATGGGCAAGTCTGGTGGAGGAAGACTCTTCACAGTGTCTCTACTCAACACTTACCTCTCTGGCCCACCTGGATGCCTATGGTGCCCACATCATCCTCTGTGGCTCTAATCAGCAGGTACAGTCTCCCAAAAACCTCTGTACTCTTCAAATGGCCCTGCACTAAGCTGATGAATTGAAATAGCCAGGATTGCCCCAAACCTGATGGCACCAAAGCCTCCTTCCAGCTGCTGCTCCTCGCTTCTCTGTGACAAGGAAACAGTCCCAGCTCTGCTCTGCAGAGCAGCACATGCCTTTTGAGTGTTAGCTTTTTTGGGATGCCAAAACAGAGTGGGATATTTGGCCTGGTGGTCCTCCTCTCTCTCTTAAAAGCAGTGCTTGGCTCAGCTTCGTGAAATGCGAGAATTACTCCGAGTCCCAAGGTGGGGGAGACACAAAGGCATTAAATTAACTATTGCTGATTCAGATGAAGCAGTTGGCCAGTCCAGTCCAGTCAGAATCCGGTCCCATGCTGGGCCATTGGGAATTGAAAGAGGCGAGAGCATAGCAGCAGCAGGAGCCTCAAACCAGGAGGCGATCACAGTTAATGGGCAGGTTGCTGAAATGACCCATACTTTCCTGCTAGCTGGGGGAAGAGAAGGGAGGGCTGGCACTGTCACCTCACGTTACGAGAGATGGGGCAAAGGCCGACCATGTTCCCTTCTGGCCTTCATCCCTGTGGTGCTGGGAGCAGCCACTGCTCACTGGCAGCACACCAAAGAAAGCTGGGCTGCTTCCAGAGCCATCTTCACCCTTCGGTCCAAGTTGTCTCTTGCCCCCCCCCACCCAGCATCCCACTCCACATGCAGACAGGGAGCTACCTGCATTTGGATAGAAAGAAATGCTTGCTAGGAAAGCTACAACCCTGGCAGCCAAAGGCACTGAAGGAGTGCTTCGTGCACCATGATGTAGGAGGGCCACACTACATCTGCAAGCAACTCCTTTTGCAGGGACAGTTGGGCTCTTTCCTTAAGTCAAGCTGCACCTCTTGGTGCTGCTGTCTTAGCTAAAACACTTGCATTGCTCCATCCTGGAGACCCTGGGGGCCCTACCCTGCTCTGCTGCCTGAACAGTAAATGATTTAATGATGTGGCTTATAATTCAACTGGAAGGATGGTTCTAAAACCACCAGTGTGATATGCAGTCGAGTAGTCAAGAAGGGCATTACCTGATTCCCTGATTTCATGTCCTTCATATTCATTGCGTTCTTCATGCCTTTGCCCTTCTCCTTCTTGTTCTTCTTCTTCTTGCAGCAGCACTTCTTGCAGATGCAGAAGCAACAGGTAAGGATAAGCAGCCCAGCTACCACAGCGATGGCAATGAGGGCCCAAGAGGGCACTGTGGACAAAACCCAGTGCTGCGGTCAGCCTCACAGCTCCCTCCCCACGAGAGGCACCCCACTGCCTTGTCCCACCTGCTGCTCCTAGAAAAGGAGCCAGCTACTCACAGGGAATCTTGTTCAGCTCATTCATGAACTTCTCCCTCAGCTTGGCGAACATATCCTCTTTGCTCTCGCCTGGGCCAGCGGCCTCAGTGGTATTCTCCATTGTCGCCATGGGCATCGTGGTGGCCACGGCCTCTGGAGCCATCATGGATGCTTGTTTGAATGTCATGGTGGGTCAGGGACTCCCTGAAACACAACATCACCTTGGTGGTCACCCTGCAACACATCTGTCCTGCCCTGCACCTTGTGAAGCGCCCCACTAGGCCCCTGCTGCTGCCACTCCTCCTCATGCCCAGGCTAGGTCCCTGATCCATCCGCCCCAAGGACAACATCTGTATTTACAGCAAGGGCGACAATTAGATGCTTGATCTTCTGTCTGAGGGTTGTGGAGTCCAACTGTTAGAGTGAGGAAGGACACGAGTCAGGACTCCTGGGTAAACTCCATGGCTCCGGGAAGCCCAGATGATACCCAGGTTTTCTGGACCTTTCTGCCTCTTCTTTCTAGCGGCACTGCCCCAGCCTCCCTCAAGCTGTGCTGTGTGAGCACGGAGCACAATCACGGCTCCTTCCTTGAGCTCTCCTGGTTGAAACAGCAGCCAAGGAGCCAGAGAGACAGGTCTCCAAACACCTGCTGCACCATCAGGCCCCCACCTCCCCAGCCAGACTCCCTCTCAGAGGAGCCCAGGGCAGCAAGGTGACAAGTCCGAAGCCTCTGGGAGCAACACCTGGGAATATATCAGCATTGGTGTGAGCTTGGAGCCTCCTAGGGACATTAGAGATGCTGTTAAGGGGAAGGTTTGCCTGCAGAGGCCACGTGAGATGAGGGAAGGGGCGTTTTCATCCCAGGGAAGGATGAGTGGTGCCAGAACACCGAGCATCAGTGAGCCCATGCCCAGCAGTGGCAGCATATCAAGTGGGGTGAGATAGACCACTGCCATGTGCCATAACCCTTCCAGCTTGGACAGTGAGCTCAGCTGGGGTGAAGCCATCCCTGGATGCACGACACTGAATACAACCTGGCCAGCCGAAGGGGACCTGCCTGTTGCTGGCACTCTTCCAGCCTGATCCCAGCACGGAGAAGGTCGTGTGGATGCACTGCAAATGCAAATGGGAGGCTGCAAAGTGCATGAGCTGGATCCAGTCCAGATCTGCACCTGCAGACACAATAGAGCAAGGTAGCGGCCAGCCCCCCACTTTCAGCAAGGCCTGGCACCCCGACCTGGCATGTAGCACAATGCACCAGTGTGGGAGCCTCCCAACTTGCTCCTGGCTCTGGGACATCCCAGGATGTGGCAGGGAAAGAAGCCATCCCTGTCCCCTGGTGTGTGTCATCGTCCCCCCAGCTCCAAGCCCCAACCTTGGACCCATAGTCCTGCCTGGGGTTGCGCACCTCGTCACGGGGAGAGGCAAACACAGCTCTGGGCAGGCTGCGAGGGAGCAGGCAAGGGCCTGGGGCTGCCCCTCAGCCAGGCACACAGGAACCAGTGGGATTGAGCCAGCACATGCATCGCTCTGCTGCAGGTCTGCCAGCCCTCTCCAGTTAGGACTGCAAGGGGACATGTCACCTCTGGTCCCCATGCAGAGACTCAGTTGTGTAACACCACGGCCTGTCACAGGGTTGGATCCTATCCCTTATTAGGTTACAACACAAAAAGCGCCAGAGCTGGAGCCTCTGTGGAGCCATGTGAAAGTGAGACATCTCATTTGCCTGTTCATTAACCATTTTCCAGCAGCCTCCGCGGGATGGCAGAGCCTGCTGGCTCATTGCCAGCTGGGTGCTGTGTCCTCGCATGGCACCAGGCTCCTTTTCACCTCCTGAGTGCAGCAGAGCCAAGCTCCCTTTGCCAGTCCTGCTCTTTGACAGGCATTCGTGCTCCAGTATTTGGAGAAGGCACGTGCAGGTACATCTGTAGGGTGATTGCTCACCGATTTGGCACAGGGATAAGCTCTCAGCAATTTTGGAGATGACCCTTGAGGGATGTAGCAGCACCTCCTGCATTCATCCATCCCGCATGACCCCTGCCCCATACCTGCAAGGTCTGAAGCACCCCATAAGCATGGGCCATCCACCCCACAGCCCTGTGGATGTGGCAATCGCTCCTGCAAGCAAATCGTGCTCAAAGTGCCTGCATGGCCCAGATCCAGACCCAAAGCACCAGGAACCAGGCTGAGCCCCCGCCATGCATCCCAGCTATGGCACCATTGGCAGAGATCTGCCGTGCTCATAACAAGACACGTGCCACGCACGTGTGGGTAGCGAGCGGCCACACATGCAGACGTGGGAGCACCCATCAGAACCAGAGTGCTCATGGCGGGGCAGCTGGCAGGATCTGGCCCTGGGACAGCAGCACTCCCAGAGGGTGGAGGAAGGGAGGATTCGAGACAGGGGTCCTCGGGGATCCTCAGTGACCAGGGCAAGTCCCAAAGAGACTCTTCAAAGATCATCTGGTGAAAAAGGAGCCTTTGCTCCAAATGTAGGGCGCCGAAAAGAGGCAGAGTGGAGTCAGTTATGTGCTTGCAAAGGAAAGATAAGAGCCGGCAGCAGGCCAAGTGAATTAATGGTGCCAGTGGGGTTAAGGAGAATGAAAGGGCTTTTAGATATCCAGTAGGGGAAGCAAAGAGCCACCTGGGAATGCTAATAACTTAGGAAGGAGCTGGGCTTGCTAGGGGTGAGGGACCTCTCCGGCAAGGGAGGAAGCCCCTTTCCTCCCTCTCTGAGAAATCCAACATTGCTGCCCCCACGGCTCCTCCTCTGCCCTCCATCCCCTGCATCCCCCATCCCCTGCAGATGTTACAGCAATGGAAATACTGCAGGTGGATAATTATGTTAATAATGCAGTAAATAACTCAAAGAAAGGCGGATGATAACCTTCACCGGCACTTCTGAACCGTGAGCCACCAGCTCAGGTTTATGAGAGCAAGCCATGCTATGCTGCTCTCATCTCTTAGCGGCCAAACGATGGTGGGTTACGGCCAGCATAGCCTGCACAGGATTTAGGAAAGTCCTGTGAAAAATTGGAGCTGAAAATGAGCATTCTTGCCTCAACAAGTCGACCAGAGAGAGAGACCCAGAAGATCAACAGCTTCAGTGCACACCGTCCAAACCTGGAGGCTTTCCTTTCCCAAAACAGCATCTACACGCTGCCTCCAGCCGCCTCGCACGAGTCGTGCACCAAATTACACAGCGCACAGCTCCACACCTGGAAATCATTCACCTGCTTTGCTGCCTTTGCTATTTCGGGTTGTTTCTGCTCGACACGCAGGCCAGGAGAGGAGTGCCGCGGTGGGGGAGCTGCACATGTCGGCTCTGTCAAACCTGCAGTCCTTTAAATGCTGAAACAGGCTAATTACGTGACTTCCATTTCTGTCTCAGCCATCTCCAAGGTCATGGCTATTAACAGCAAACACACGCTTTGCCACCTTTTAGAAAAAGCTATAAAAAACAAAGGCACAGCTGAGATTTCCAGGGCTGCTTGACTTAAAAACCAGCCTTGCAGCAGCCTTTGCCACCCCAGGGTGGAGCCAGTCCCCTCTGGCAGGCCCAGGGACAGACGGTCCCCTCCGATCCCCCACCAGCCCCAGGCGGCAGCTCCGCTGTGCCATGCATCCTCCCTGCAGAGCCCAAGGCAGCATCCCGGCACCCTGCAATGCACTGCACCAAGGGCTGTCGCAGCTGCACGGAGAGCTACCTGGAAAAATAAGCTCCCTTTCGACCTTAAGCGCTTCTAGCAGCAGTGTTTCTGGTGGAAATGCAATTCCTCTCTCAGTCCGGGGCTATCCTTGCTGCCTTTGAAAGGGGAAAGCACAAGTCCAGCCCTCATTATCTTCCAGAAACTGGCTTTCAAGTAGAAAGGCAGGGACACACTGCATTTTCCGCCACCCTTATTATTATTTTTCTGCCTGCACTGCTGAGGAATGCGCTTCTGCCCATCTATTATGAAAATCACAGAAAACTGTGTCATGGAGGTAATAAAATGGGGCCGTGCAGCCCTTCCTTTGGATCATCTGAGCACTGGTGTGCTACTAGTTACAAAATAGCCTGGGCCACCTTCCTGTAAAGATGTTCAGCTCTCCACAGCCGCTCTGGGGTTGCAGGCTGCCTTTTGACCCCCGCTTTCCAGCTCCGCCAAAATGTGAGCAATGCCACGGACGGTAGCAGTGTTGGTGGCTCAGAGGCCAGTGGGTGCTGCCTTCCACGGGCTGGAAATGCAGCAACGTGGGCCCCCCGGGCAATGTAGCAAAATGGCATGAAAGCATCAATTATTGGGAGGAGGAGGGAGCTTTGCGTCGTGAAGCTCAGATGAGCCAGCAGGCACCACGACTATTGAAATGAAATTTCTGAGGCTTGTTCCCCCCGGGGACGATTTGTTTCTGGTGTGGTGTTGCACTCGCCCCACAGTGCCCCAACCTATGCACAGTAAATTAAAATAAAAAGCAAGGAAAAGAGACATGCACCCATCATGTGAGGTGTTTCCTAACGCTGCAGGAGCAATGTACAGGAAAAAAGGACAACATGCAGCAGCAGCAACCTCCGGGCAGCAGAGGCCCGCGGGTCTCCAGCTTGGCAGGCACAAGCAGGTGCCAGTGCTGCTGGGGAGATGGATTTTGCTCATCAGAAATGGGATGCGAAAACGTGGAAAGTCCGGCTGAGCTCCTCCTGGGCCTTTTCTGGGCAACCCTTGACACCTCAGGAGTCAGAGTGGGAAGGAGACGAAGTAAAACGGCACATCAGCCAGAGGATTTTGTCTCCACCATGCTCCCACACACTGTGCTGGGCAACTCTGTGGGACCCTGCATTGAGATGAAAATCCCTGTTGCTGGCTCGTGGAGTGACTCATCCAGTCTCAACCCAACTCTCAGCACTTGGTGAGCCTCTGGGTCCTTCAAAGCGAAGCACGTCTGGATTTGCTCCATGAAACACCAAAGCAGCATCTGTGCAAGTGAGAAGATGATGCCCAAAAACACAGGGGAACGGGATCGTGCATGGGAGAACAGGGGAGCATCTCTAACTGGAAGTAAAAACTGGAGTTATCTCCTTTAGGATCAACTTATTTCAGAGCCAGCTCTGAGGGGAGCTGTCCCAGATGAGCAGGGGGCAATAGCATGAAGAAGCAAAGAATGGTAGTAAATAATACTTACCAAGTTTAAGAGCTTGGGGTATTTTTTGGTCTGTTATTTTTATTATTATTTTGTGCCTCCTGGATTTTGAAACACTGCATTACACTCAGCATATGTTTCCAACACTTAATCTGCACCCGTGCATATCACAAACTCTCTTAAAAAAATACAAGGTGTGATTCTCAGTGTCTTTTCTACTGTAGCATCAGGAGGCCTGGGAATGGCCTGGGATCGCCCTGTGCTGAGCATCTCTGCCCATTTATTTCCTCTGTCAAGGACAACCAGGACTCAGTAGGAAAAATGCACTAATTATTGCAAATTTATGAGCAAATTGTGACAGCAGAGGTGATGATTGGGTGGAAAGTGCTACTGGTGTCCATCAACCTGGCAGAAAACGGAGGGTATGCAGACACTTTCTCTCAAATTTGAGCTGTCCCCAAGCACTTATGTTTTTCGCAAATATTTGTACCATCTGAGTGATGTCTGCAAGCCAGGGTGGAAAGCAGAGCCCCCGCTCTCACCCTGCGAGGCTGGCGCCGAATACACAGCGCCTGTAGGAGCAAACCTGGCCCTGGCCAGATGGAACAACAGATCAGCTGCAAGGCGAGGTGCACGGGTGCCAGGCAAGCAGCGAGGTGAGGCAACAGCACCATCTTATCCTGAAATTTCAAAATTTAGGACTGGCACTCCAACTTCCAGACCCTGGAGTCAAATGATTGTAGGACGCTTCAGTTACTTTTTTCTCCCTTATTTTAATGAGCTCTTAGTGTTTCGGACACCGGAAGAGCTCCATGAAAGGTGGAAGACAAAAAGGAGAATCCCAAAAGACAAGGTTTTGTTTGACCTCGCATTTTAGGGGATTGGAGACATGAATTTTGATCACTTGAGAGTATGAATCCACAGTTTGTCTGGGATGCAAAGAGACCGAGAATGCTCTGGAAAATGGCATTGCTGACAGCTGGGTTGGGTGCAGGAAGAATTTGAGAAGTGCAGTCAAGGCTCAACACCCCCATCACCCAAGTTTTAGATAAAATGCTCTTTGCTGAGATGCTGCAGGGCAGCCAGCTTGTCCATGCTATGAAAACCCACATATCAGAGGCTTCCTCTGAGATCAGATGCAATGGGCAGGGGGATGCATCAGCATCCATTTCCTCCCCACTCCGAGGATGCTAATGATTGGATTTGCCTGGAGCAGCGGGAACCTGAGAGTCACTCGGAGGCAGCTGTCTCACGGGGTGTGCAGTGCCAGCAGCAGTGAGGAGCCAGCTGAAGGCACAGCAGGATGAAATCCAAGACCTGCTGTTGCCTGCATCAAATCTGCAGGCTGAATGGTCGTCTCTTGCTTTGGCTTGGCCTTAAAACTGCCTCATGTAGCACTGCTGCTTGCTAATGTCCCTGGTTGCGCCTGGCAGATTGTGCATTGCCACAAGCAGCAATCGGCACTACGAGAGCCTGCCTTTCCACCTTGCCATTGACACCATTTGCCCGGCATGGGACTGCAGGAGACAAACTTCATACAGGAGCCACGGGATCAGACCCAACTCCCTGCTTTCCCTGGGCAAAACCCCTTCTCCATTTGTGCCTCAGTTTCCCTCTTGGCACAGCATAGGGAGCAGCTGTGCCCCACTTCAAAGTTCTCCGGGCTATTTCTAGCGGTGCCCCCGTTACCCGGGGCATGCAGACGGCTGGACGAGATCAGCCAGGACACCGACATCTCAGCAACTTCCAGGAGGCTCTTTAAACCTCATGCGTTTCCCGTTCAATCACAAGCCTGAGTGTGTGCACATGCACATGTGTGCACACTCACCTGTGTGCATATACACACACACACACACACACACACACACACACACGCATGCAGACAAGCATATGCACATACATAGGCACACACCTTGCGTCCCTTCCCCTGGCTTACTGAGGGTTTGATGTCCGCAGAGTGATGCTCTCCCCAAGCCCATGAGGCCAGGCACAGACACGACCAAAATGATCCCGCCACTGAAGCAGCTCTGCCGCCCAAGCAGAAAGCAGATCAGCGAGGCCCAGACTGGTTCAGTACCTGGCTGATTGCTCAATCCCCGCCGCTGCCAGACCCCCCTGCAACATGCCAGCCCTGGAGGGAGGACGGCACTGGGGGACCAGCTTTAATCCACATCGGCAGTGGCCAAAGGGCTGCTGTTTGCTCAGGATTTGGTGCCTTCCAGAGGGACTAAGCGGCTTGCCAGCCGTGATAATTCATTGCGTTGGATGGGCATGTTAACTTTTACAGCAAGGGGATAAACCGCAGGCAGCAAGCACATTCATCACGCCTTTGGGCAGCTGTCAGCCCACGAGTGGTGGGAGCTGAGCTGGCCATGGCAGAGGCTTGATAGGAGGAAGATGGATGAGCCCTGGCTCAGTGCGGTTCCCCAGGAAAATTCCCATGGCTGGGTGCTGCTGGGCCCCACAAGGTAATTACTGCTGGGCTTCATGGCCGTGGACTGGGACAAAACCAGCCTGTGCAGGAGCTGGGTTTGCAGACCAAAGTCTGGCTCGGTGTCATCCTCACCAGGGACAAGGCAGATATGTGACCATTGTGCCATGATGCCGGCATGCTCAGGGACTTGCAGGCACATCCGTCCAGAGCGGATGTTATGGCCTCTTGGGCCATGGACACAAGTGGTCCCAGAAAGCCCTGCACGCTGGTACAACTTACCCAGCCTCCAAGTGCCGTCCAGCTGAGGAAGTCTTGCAGGGGCTGCTGGAAATGACCTAAAGACAGGAAAATAACCACAGTGAGATTTGTAAGGCTGGCACCAGTGGACAGCAAAAGCCAGCAGGAGCCAGTGGCCAATGCACAAGCCGCTGCCGCTGTGCTGGCCCTGGACAGCCAACCCAGCAAGGCTCATGGGCGTGACGGGGAAAAGCCCAAAAGACAAATGGTACCCAAGTCCCCCAGATGGTCTTGAAATGTCTCCAAATCCTTCAGGGTGGGAAAAGTCACTAGCAATGGCAAAACCTCCCCTTTCGCCTGCCCACTGCAACATGCCCTGGCTCCTGCACCCCAGCCCACTGGTGGCAATCTCCAGCTTGAAACACGGGTGCTGAGAGCACATTTGGCTTGCTTCGAAACATGAAAGATTCAGAAACAAGCAAGAATGAAGCAAATGAGGATGAAACCCTCACTGGAGTTGGCTGATGAAAATACTGAAAAAACTGAAGGTGTCTTCAGGAAGGGGCCAGCTCAGACTGGGTTTATCCCAATATGCAGGGAAGGAGGATGCTGGAGCCTCTGCAGCGCAGCCCTGCTTCCTGGAGGCTGGCGCAGTGCCTGCCTTCACTGTGGAGGCTGTGCACACCGAGAGCAGCACCATACCATAGAGGACATTGCAGCAAACTCAGCATTAGATCATGTAGTATAGGAGGGGATTTTTATGTTGAACAGCACTGATTTCACTCACAGTCATTCCTTCATGGCCTTCACCACAGCCACAAGCTCTGATATATGCAAGACCAAGTTTTCCAGCCAGGATACCTCGTGGCGGCACAGAGGAGGAGGGTTTCATGCTCCTGCAGGCTGAGCTGGAGCAGCAATGATGCTGCATGACCTTTGCAGCCTTTCTGCTCTCCCACCCGAGAAGGCGCAGGGCCAGGTTGCGTTTACCGCCCCCAGCGCTGCTCCCTCTGCTCACTGGAGGGGAGGGCAGGGACTGGAGGACTTTTCTGACTTTGTGACCAGCCTAAATCCCTCTTCTCCATGTCACTGTCTCATCCACACAAGGGGACTCCAGAGCCCGGCCTGACTTTCCAGCCTCATGGATGGGATGTGGTATTTCACAATGTGGCCACAGAGATCCTGGGCCTCAGCCTTTGCCTGGTAGCCTCCATTTAGCCTCCAGAGCCTCCTGCCACCACTAGGACCATCATGGACCATGGTCACGACCTCCTCCCCATCTCCAAGTAGACAGTTGGGGAGGTCAGTGCACTTTGACCTGGTCTGGCTCGAACATCCTAAACCTGTCGGGTGTCTAGGGGGCTCTGCATGCACCATGTGCCTATCCCACCCCTGAACCATGGACGCAACCACTTTCATACAGCCCAGAGCAGCAGGAAATGCCGTAAGAGGCATCACCAGCTGTTGGCACCTCTTGTAACTTAGCCACAGATAGAGCAGAGCTGAGCTGGGAGGATCAGCTTAATAAATGATCTAAAAGTGCCTTGCAGCTACTGCCGTTGCTGCGTGGCTTCTCTGAAGGTTAATCATGATCAGTGGAAACGTTTTCAAACTCTGCTTGGGCTCCTCAGCTCTTTGTGGGCATAGGTATAACCTGGAGGTGTGGAGAGAGCTGGTGACCCTTGGGGTTGGGTGCAAGGCTAGGGCATCATGGTTGGACAGAGTGAGCCAGCCTTGGTGGCAGGGTGCAAGGTTTGAGCATCACAGAGGGCAGCACAAAGCTCAGTGGCTCCCAGCAAAGGAGCCACTCCCTCAGCCAGAAATGTCGCAGAGGCATAGAAACCACTCCAAGAAGCCAGCGCTTCGCCCAGGGCAGCCTTCCTCCCTGCACAACCCTCTGCCCCACCATTCCTCCTCCTCACCCCAGCAGCCAAGCAGCACCGTCCAGGCAGTTGGGATCGCTGGCAGGCACCCAGCAGGCGCCCAGCAGAGGAGCACCCAGGGACCTGCAGGGCAAATCAAGAGCTGAATCCTTGCCCTGTCCCCCCTACGGTGAGCCCAAGCTGCCCGCTGAGTCCACTCGGCCCCCTGGGCTCTAGAGCAAGCATCAAGGGGTACTCCTCACACAGCCATCCCATTTTTAAACTAGATTCCCACCCTTGTTGCCAGCCATGCCCTGGGCACCCACAACCTGCTCTGCCATTGGCTGGGGGACTTGCTTGAGGTCCTTTGCAGGATCTACTGCAAGAGTTTCCCCAGCTGGGCTGGAAGGTGCAAACTCACTCTCTGCCCCTCTGCCGGATACCCAGCCACAGTGCAACGAGCTGGCATGCACCAGCTTTCATCCTGGAGTCCCAGGAAAATGAGAGCTTTGCAAAGCTGCAGGGGATCAGTGCTGCGCAAAGCCCAAGTGGCTCATGGCCAACTCCTCTGGGTGCCAAAAGTCGCTGCTCCACTCCTTCGCCTGCATGTCTGGTGGCAGGATTAAAAACCGCCTGCTGAAGAGAGCCCCATAGTCGAGCAATTACCCTGCAAGCTCACAGCAGCTCCTCACTGGAGTCGCTGTGCTGAGAGCTTTGGAGCAGATTGAGGAGATCAGCATCTCTGGGAATGCGAGGGGTAGCGATACGGCAGCAGCCAACAGCGCCTCCAAGCTCCTTGGAAGTCAGGGAACAGTCTGAAGCATAAATCAGGCCTATTGTCTTCTGCGAGCTGCTGAGGGTTTTTTTAATGCAAAGGACTAAGAGGGCTTTGCAAAGTTTTCCAGGCAGCCGAGAACACCTGTCCTTTCATTTTTTGCTCACGTTTATTGGGAGTCACCTTTGCTGCCAGCAGCTCTCAGCAGCTCAACAGCCCCACGGCCAGGCCCCATTGGGCAGCACTGGGAGCAGCTGAGCAATTCGGCCTCCCCTACTTGCAACCGGCCCACTGGGAACAAAGTGGGAGGGGGCAGAGCAATCTGCATCCACTTGCACCAAGCACATTCCCAAATTTGGGCTTTGGGGCATTTAATACAGACGCAGTCAAGCAAGGACAGCTCCCACCTTCTCTCCACGCACCATGACACCACTGGCCGCCACTCCAAAGAGTTTACAGATCAAGCTGACGGGAACGGGACGCCATCCCCACTTCAGCATCACAGCAGCCCTGCACAGCCCTGCTACAGCCATCACTTTTCATTTTATAAAGTCATCCCTTAAAGGTTAGCAGCCTTTGGGGTGCTGTGCAATCACAGCCCTGGATTCATCGCAGTTTTGCTGGAAGCTTGGCTGCCCCCCCCCCCCAGTATTCCCACTCAAGGTTTTTACCCCTGGGGCAACTGGAGGATTTCTACAGGGGTACTCTTGCTGCAGGAGGAGGATCATGATTGCCTTCCCTTCGCATCTCTGTGGCTTGCCAAAAGAAAGCAAAGCTGCCAGAGAAAACATGCAGTCAGGCGAGCAAAGAAAATAGCTGCGTTTAGCAATCTGGACAATTTCCAGTTTAATGAAGAAGAGGAAGGTTTTTACAATGCTGCCTTAATGACCTGACCTGTATTTTTGTGCAAATGCTAATATAGGTGAAATAAATGGCCTTCTGCCTAGCCAACCTTTTCCAGCTTTAAGGACTTCGCTGGCACCAGAGTGGTGAAGGACACGCTGGAGCTTTTTAAACACATCGAGGAGCTGCAGTGACATTGTCTGCAGACAGCCCCTTGGAGAGAGAGGGCAGACTACGAAATTGCCTTCGATTTGTTTTAATAATGTTTTGAAAGATCTCTGCAGACATCAAGCGGGTTTTTAATAAGAAGAAGGCTTGGCAGGGCTGAACGGCTACTGGACCCAGGTAAAGGAGCTGCTGTATAGCAAAAAATGAAAACTGCAGCAGCTTCCGATGCCAAACCAGGGGGAAGGTGCTCGGCACAGGGAGGAGGCTGGTGACCTTGTGAAAGCGAAGCAGCTCACATTGCTCACTGTGGCTGGCCTATCCCCACAGCCTATGTTTCCTTGGGTGGGGGGGGGCCTAGGACCCCCTAGGAGGGGTTTACCCTCATGAACTTACTCTCAAAGGTGGTAAGAAGGTTGCCAAAGCAAGCCACATACGGCTACGCAGCTGCCCAGAGCTAGCAGGATCATGGGGCTTCCAAAACGAGGTACTGAGGAGGTGACCAAAATCCCTTGACAGGGACCAAAACCCACCTAAGCATTCAGCCAGGTGACACGAGGACCTGTGCCAGGTCTAGGGAAGACCTATGCAGCCCTGGAGGGCAGCAAGGCAGTGATGGAAGATGGCCTGGGAGGGACACAAGGAGCACCAGCAAGATCTGGAGAAGCTCTGGAAGATCCTGCAAAGACACAGCATCAAGTTGACGTCTGCTTTCTTGCCAAACTAGGATGTCCATCTGGGCCCTGGCCAGGACATGGGAATGCACCATGAGCATCCCAGCGCAGCAAACGGTCTCAGAGCCCTGCAGGCTAGTGGCCCCGCACGGCCCAAGGCTGGGAGAAACATCCTTCTACAAGTAGAGGCATTAGCCATCACTGAGGGAGCTACCAAAATTGCATGACTTGCTGGGAAAAGTAGTCTACTAACTCCTGTTCAAATCCAGTGCACATGGTCAGGCCTTGTCTTCAGCACCTTGCCACTATGGCATGGACCAGGAAAGCCTCTTGCACCATGGGCTTGGATGTAGTCAAAGTAGGGTAAGAGCGAGAGGCCATCTTTGGCAGGCAGCCTCACTAAGGAGCTGAGCTGGCAGCTGGGCACCAAGCTATCATGGTCAGGAGAACACAGATGAGGCTGTGGCCCTGTGACAAATGGCCATGGAAACTAATAAATTCAGCAGCACAACATGGTGTGGGTCGCCGAGCCCTGGCCTCGCCGCACAAGATGTCCTTCTCCCCTGAACATCTTTTTTAGTGCAGAGAGACGTTGTCTCTGCAACGATGGCAATGAGGAGTTTTGAGCCTGGCCAGGGAGCTTGAGGAGCTTCTTTCAACTGAGGTCTGAGGCAGTAGGCAGGACGAGATGGGTCTAGCCAGAAAAAAAGCAGATGTGGACCGAGGGAGCACTGGGAAATGGAGAGAAGGAGCCAGCCGGCTCACCGCCAGTTCTGATTT